TCCTCACTCTCTGCAACTCCCTGACAGGAGGGGGGAGCCAGCTGGGGGTTGGTCTCTTTTCCCAGGCAACCATCAGCAAGACAAGAGGGCTCGGTCTTCAGCTGTGCCAGGGGAGGTTTAGGTTGGATATCAGGAAGAATTTCTTTGCAGAGAGGGTGCTCAGCCATTGGAATGGGCTGCCCAGGGAAGTGGTGGATTCTCCATCCCTGGAGGTTTTTAAGCTGAGACTGGATGTGGCATCAGTGCCATGGTCTGGGAACCACAGTGGGGTTGGATCAAGGGTTGGACTTGATGATCTCGGAGGTCCCTTCCAACCCAGCTGATTCTATGATTCTATGATTCTGTGGTTCTGTGATTCTTCTCTTGTCTTGCTGAGGAGAAGGAGAGGGAGAGAGATGCTTGGTGGACACCTGGCCAGCCAAAGTCAACTGATCACAGCCTCACAGTAATGCATGAGATTTTAGAGAGCTGTACGATTTGGTGAAACATTTGTTCTTCTGAAAGTAACAATTCTGTTGATGTTTTTTCCTTTTTTGGAGCAAAAATCAGATTTTCAGAATACTGTCCACTTAATTTGGACATTACACAAGTTGTGTATGTAACCACTTAGTTTTTCACCTGCAGCATGTAGCTTTAGGAAACTTGCAAATACAATGTAATGCAAGTCCAGGTATGTATTGGAAAAGAGAAGTAACATAATAACAACCAAAAAATGGAAGTAGGTATTGTTGCCTAAGTGATACTGGCAAAATTCCAGATTGCTAGGCAATATTGTTCGGAAGGAGTTTGCACTGCTTATCAGTAGATGTGAAATTACAGTGTAGTCCGTCAGAAGTTTCATAATAAAGAAATATACCTGTTATTACAGAGAATGATTTATGTAGATAGACAGGAAGGGATAAATCTGATAATTTTTATATGGAAAGTGGAGTATAGAGAAGGTGCCATTTGAAATCTGTGTTTCCAATAATAGATGTATCCTGACAATGCCGCGATGCAAATCTGAGCTGATGTTCTTTACACTTCTCCTTCTGGCTCTAGTAGCAATTCCTACAATGTCATTCCTGTTGACCAGTGATGTTCAGCAGCCTGTAGCATATATTCTTGTGCTGATCTCTGTCTAGATTTGTGAGTCTCAAGAATAGTCCTGTTGAAACTATTGTATGTGAAGACACTGAAGAAATTATAGAAACGGAACGCGAACGTGAGCAAGTTGAGAAAGAGTTTATGAAGGCATACATTGAAGACCTAAAGGAAAGGGGTATGTGTTAACCTGCAGTAAACTTCCTGCTGCCTTGGAGATAAATGCAGACATATGGTGGGAACATTTATTTTTGAGAGTCCAAGAAATATATCTTCCTAAACTACAGTTGTCTGTTATGGTATTGAATAAGACCAACAGTGAAAATGCCAAATGAATTTTGTTAAAAATTTGAGCTCTAATTGGGACACTTGATATTGTATACCAAGTTAATGGTGTGTTTGTATGTGCATTAGTCTTAATTCATTAATATTGTATACAAAGATTATTTATTCTCCAGATTTAATTACCTAATTTGGGGTTAACATTAGTGATTTTGAATTCCTGAAGAAGGGCTTCTCCTCCTCAAAAAGAGGCACAGGATATATATGAAAGTCTCTTTGTACTGGTATAATATTCTTTAATAATATTATCTGTATCAGAGTACTACTAACTGTTTAACCACTGTACAATCATAGTAAAATCTCTGCTTCTGTCTTCATTATATAGCACCTGAAGCTTTGCATATTAATTTGTTTTGCTACTTTGTCTTATATTTACCATCATTAAGAAACTGTCAATCTCTTGAGTCTTTAGTAAAATGTTAGGAAACAAAGGGAGTTTCCTGTGAGCCAGATTACCCTCTATGACTTTTAGTGGAATGAATCTTTTGATGTCTTTCCACTCCTTGCAGGATTAATTTAAGGGATCTGTACGGTGGTCCTATGAGACCTGGTAAAAGAGAAATATGAAGAAAGGTCACGGGATGTGGCTTCAGAACAGTTTTCATGTTCTAATACTGGACTTTTGTTCCTTAATGTCCATAATCTTAGCACTTGGGTGTTCATGCTCTCTATTTCTAAAGTGAAGTCACAGAGATCATTTGTAGAGTACGTTTGAAATAAAACCAAGCCCTGCTGTTTCTAGCTAAGGGTTTCATTTATTTGTGCTGGATTACATAGCTAAAATCTGAGATGTATTTCTTTTTTCTTTTTTCACAGAGTCTACTCCTTCCTACACTACGAAAGTATTGCTCAGTCTTCAGCTCTGAAGATCAAAAACCTCTAAATCTCTAGTAGATGTCTGAATAACTCTCTTTTTATCCACCTGAATAATAAATACTGGAAAATATAAATGGCCAGAATCACATAAAAATCATAACAAATTATTTATTTATTACTGTAGTTGTTACCACTAACTACAGATAAAATCAAAGGGCAGTAGAGCCTTCACAAGATGCTGTTTCACATTTTAAGTCAACATATTTATTTTCAAGTTCAACAGCAGCAGTCACTAATTTGCATATAGACCTGCTGAAAGTAAGTATTCACTCTGATAAAATACAAACAGGCATAGTTGAATGATGAAGACATTCTGTGTTACAGTTGAAACATTGCAACATAAAACACGATCTTATAAAGAGAATTGATTTTATAAAAGGGGATAGACTAATTTAGAAAATGAATGTGACCTGTTGGTTTTTTAAGACCAAATAACACATTTAGTTATTTACAATATTCGAAGCGAGAACACACCCATAGTTATTTGCATTTACTTTCTGTTCTGCAAGAAAATTGTCCTTCTTTTTTAAAAAGTTCACTTTTTAAAGTTTCAACAACTTTTTGCATAGAAGGTTATAGCAGTTTTCCTGTTTTTTTTGTTTTTTTTTTTTTTTTTCCAGCATATTGTAAGATTTTACTTGTTTGCAAATTCAAGTACCAATGTAATTGAAACTTCTGTGCTAAGCAGTCTTATAATGTACTAGTGTATTAAATAAGATTTTAAGGACTAAGCAGTATGACCTAATGCTATCAGTAGAATGATGATAAAAGTCTTCTATTAACAGTTTAAGATTACAGGATTTTGTGGACATTTATTGGCATTTTCCAAGTTGTGTAAGAATAAGTTTGCTGGTAAAAAGTTATGTTGCTTACTATTTAATAATGTGTTTATATATAATTATCTAAGTGTATATAGTGTAGGCCTTCAGAAACCTAGTTTTACATGTACTTTTTGTCTAATAAATCAATACTTTTTAATCTAAAAAAATGAGATTTTGAGAATTTAGACCCTAATTAGAGTCAAATTAAAGAATTTAAGTGGTTCTAAACTTATGAGTGCAGTTAAGTGAGATGATCTTTACATCTTGGGCTTTTTTTTTGTTATAGATGAGGTATTTTCAGCTTTGAGCAGTAGAATGCCACTTAAGTCAGTCATATTTAAAAAAACAAAGCAATGAAGGATATGCTCCTCAGACTTCCATGTAGAAAAAAACATACTGCTTTTGATGTTTTCTTTTTCACATTCTAGCATTCAATCTTTTAAAAGAAGAGAATAGGTATGTTTATTATCCCAATTTCAAGCTTCTGCGGTTATATTACTATCCAAATGAAATCCAGTCAAATTGGTCTCCAGGTGTTAAAGCAGATCTTAAACAAACAAATTATGATTAAAGGGAACGTTAAAAAAACTCTAAGGAAAAAATGACATTGATCTTAGAATAATAGAAGACTATTCTTTAAATTGTTGTTAGATAATGAAAGAGGAAAAAACAGTGGCAACCAAAGCGGGCTTAGAGAAATCAGGCTATGTGAAACTACCCTACCAAATTTCTTTTATTGAAATTATACATTTGGTTTGTTAAGTACTGATACTGGTGTAATAAACTTCTGTAAGACATCTGTTTTGACATTGCTTGAAATTCTATTTCTAGAGTTGTGTCTTAGTCTAATATCCACTGAAAATCATAGGAATGGAAATCACAAGCTCTGTGCTTATAGAACTGAGATGGACATTATGGAAGCTGTAACTTTACAAAAAACTACGGATGCAAACATAGTTAAAACCCAAAAATTCTACTGTAAATTCTAGTATCAGAATTGTTGGATATTTAAACATAGAACCCCAAACTCTGAGTCAATAATTCACTTGATCCCTTTGTCTCCTTCTTCCTGGGTCCCAGTCTCCAACTGGGAGCACAGAGGATACACTACCTGTGTTTACAACCCCATCAACATCTTTCTGAGGGATGTGAAGCCCCTTTTGATGTTTTGCAATCTCCTTCTTGCAGCATCATTCGACTCTGTGTGAAAGAGCAGGAGTGGATAACAACCCTCTGGTTTTACCTGGCTTGGTAGCCTCTTTGTGGTATTGCAAATGTGAGCCCCCAACAGACAGCAAACCTCTCTAGAGTGGTTGTCCAGATGGCAAATGGGTGCTTCCGTGCCTCTCAGTGAGAAGTCACCAACTACTAACAATATTAGTGCTTTTTGGTGCCACTCTTTCAGTGCAGATTAGCTCCTGCTTCATAGTGGGTGGGAGGAGGTTGGAAAGTGCGTTTTTACTCCCCTGATTTCAAGACCTCATTTGAACTGGTCCTAATAAATTGAAGAACTGTAACTCAGCGTAACTCTGGTTATGCCCCACTTGGGTGACTGCTGTACCCTGAGCAGTTCAGGAAGAGTCTCCTCTCTTTTCAATAGCTGAATCTGCTACTTGGGCTGATTCCGGCTGTGACTGTATTCTCTTTCTTCTTCACTCCACTGGTCCATTAACAGCTATGGTATTGTTTGGTGTGAAGGGGGTATCTGCATGGTGTTTTCATTATGTGCCAACTGGCATTAATATGAAAAGATCATTACTGTCTCTTACTGCTCCCTGGAACTTGCAGTTTTCTTGTTGCCAGCTGCAACATAACTCTTTCATGTTCAGCAAAATATTTGTAAAGATGCATTTTATATCTAAAATGTAATTACATCTTAGACATATTGCCTTGGCTGTGTTCAGAGTTTCTATTTTCCATTAATGCTTCCAACCTTTTCCTAAAATCAATGGTGACATTTATAAAGTAATTAAATTAGCTGTCAAATCCACGTGAATAGATCTGTAAGGAAGAACATCAGCTTACAGAACTGAAAATCGGTTTTAGACTATACAAAACCAATGTTTAAGTTCAAATTTAGATATATAACAATGCATCTTCTTTTTCATTTTTTTTACAAAGGTGCAGACAATTTGAGGCTCAGTCAGCCTTAGGTCCTGTGTAATATGTAATGGCATAAAATAACACATTTACAAAAAAACAATATCTTATACTGTAGACCTTTAAGCTGATAAAATGTTATTCAGTGTTTCATTCTTACTCTGTGTTTGCTGATTTAAAAAACTGAAATGATATCTCACCTGTGGTTTCTGTATAACTTTCTGTCAGGATGAATATTTGAAAATAAGTCGATGCCAAGTTTGTTGTGGTGCTGCCCTGGCCCCAGAGAGGTAGAGCAGGTCATATGTCTGTTGTCTATTCAGAGAAGGTGGGTTCAGTTAGATAATCAAAGATCCATGTCCAATTTTAAGACAATTTTTCCATTTTTTGCATATCTTCAGGAACCACTACTGAAAAATACTTGATGCCACCAGGGAACTAAAGGAGATTGAACCTTTAATTTCTTTTTTAAATGTAATTGTGTTTTTGCCTCTTTGAAGTGCTTGCACACTAATGCACCCAGGATGAGGAGTAAACCCAAAGAATTAGAGGACTGCTGCGCAGTTACAGGACTGTGACCTTGTTGGGATCAGGAGGATGTGGTGGGATGGTCCCTGTGGATGGAGTGCTGCAACGGAGGAATTCAGGCTCTTTGGGAAGGACAGCCTGAAAACATGAGGAGGTTGGGCTGTCCTTTATGTGAGAGAATAGATGGAATGCATGAAGATCTCCTTGGGGATGAATGAGGAGCCAACAGAGGGTTTGTTGGTGAGTAGGCCAATATGGGTGATACTGCAGTGGGTGCCTCTTACAAACCACCTGATGAGGACGAGCAAGTGAAACAGACCTTCAACAGACAGTTGGAAATAGCCTCACATTAGCAGGCTGTGGGTCTTGTGGAGGAATTCAGCCACCCCAATTTCTGCTGGATGGACAAGACATCAGGTGAAAATAAGTGGAAAATTCCTGCTGTAAAAATTATTGTCAATCCAGCCAGGAGAGGTGTTCTGCTGCACCTCTTATTCACAAAACAGCAAGGACTGGCTGGGAGTGTGAAAGTCAAAGGCAACCTTGGCTGCAGTGACTAAGAGAGGGTGGAAACTGGGATTCTGAGAGAAGAGGGAACAAAACAAGAACACAACCCTGGATTTAAGAGAGAAGATTTTGGTGTCTTCAGGAACGTACTTGAGAGTGTCCCATGGGACAAGGTCTTAGAAGAAATAGGGTATCAAGAAAGTTGATTGGTCTCCAAGCATTACCTTCTCTAAGCTCAAGAGCAGTTCATGCCAGCGAGCAAGAAGTCAAGTAAAAACTCAGAGAGACCTGTGGGGATGAGCAATGAGCTCCTGTCAAAATTCTAGGAGGAAAAAAAAAAGCATGCAGAAGGTATACCTGCAGGTGAAGGTAACCTGGGAGGAATAATGAGACACTCTCCAAGAATGCCGAAGAAAACATGGCTAGGAATGAAAAAGTCCATTTGGAGTTGAAACTGGTGGGGAATGTCAAGGATAAAAGGAAGAGTTTCTCTAAATTTGTTAATGGCAAAGGAAAAACTAGGGAATATGTGGTCCTGCTGCTGAATGTGGTGGGGACCTGGTTCCACAGGACACAGGAAAGGCTGAGGTACTGAACACCTTCTTTGCCTTAGTCTTTACCAGAAAGACCAGCCTTCAGGTATCTCAGGTTCCAGAGAGAGGGGGAAAGGATGGAGTGAGGAAGATGTACCCTTGGTAGATGAGGATCAGGTCAGGGAATACTTCAGCAAACTGAACACACCTAAGAACATGGGCACTGATGGGATGCACCCACAAGTGCTGAGGGAGCTGACTGATGTCATTGCAAGACCACCCCCAGTATTCTCTGATCATGGTGACTGGGAGAAATGCCTGAAGACTGGCAGCAAGCAAATGCCAGCCTAATTTTCAAGAAGGGCAAGAAGGAGAACTCGGAATCCTTGTAAACCGTTTCTAGGTACATTGACAAGAAAATCATCAGGAGCTGTTAGCGTGGCTTTACCAAGAGGAGTTCACACTTGACCAACTTGATAAACTTCTACACTGAATAACTGACCTGGCAGATGAATGGCCAGGTCTTGAGGATGGTGGTCAGCAGCTCAAAGTCTAACTCGAGGTCAGTATCAAGCAGTGATCCCAGGGGTCAAAACCGAGTCTGATCCTGTTTAATATCTTCATTAATAATGAAGATTATTAATTATTATCTGACGATGGGACAGAGTGTACCCTTGGCAAGTTAGGTGATGATATAAAACTGGCAGAAGTAGTTGATGCATTAGAGGGTTGTGCTACCATCCAGAGGGACCTCAAAAGGCTGGAGAAACAGGCTGGAGAAATGGACTGATAGGAGGCTCATGAAGTTCAGTGAGTAGAAGGGTAAAGTTCTGCACCTTAGGAGGAATAACACCATCCATCAGTACATGCAGGGGGCTGCCCAGCTGGAAAACAGCTTTGCAGGAGCTGCCACAGGGGTCCTGATAGACACCAGGTGAGTTGGCAAAGTGGCACTGCCATGAGGCAGCAAGTGCTGGTGGTGTCCTGGGCTGCACAAAGAGGAGTCTGGACAGCAGGCTGAGGGGAGGGATCATTCGTGTCCCCTCAGTACTCGTGAGGTACCTCTGTGTCCAGGTCTGGGCTTCCCATTACAGGTGATATACGGACTTGCTGGAAAGGGTCCATTGAAGGGCCACCCAAATGAAGGGGAGTGGTGCATGTCTCTTGTGAGGAAAGGC